TTATTAGGCTACCCAGTCGGAGCCCTGTGTTTAACCGCAAAGCGCACACCTGTTTACCTCGGGCACGAATTTCTCTCTGCCCCTAGATGCGGGCTCTGATAACTGGTAGCCCATAGATCAACGATGCGCAGTACGCAAGCTGGGCACGTGATTTTGGACAGACGGGCCAAAATTGCGCTTCGGACATCGGTTAACTTTGCCAGATAAGCTTAGGCACACGGTAGGTCTCCTTTCTTAATTTGATGACTGTTTCAGCGGTGGAACTCGAGGATATACTCCCGTCGGTGAATTTTATTCGACCTGAGTTACGTCAATTTGCTGATGATCAGCGGGTGCTGATTCTTCGATTATATGGGGAGTGCGGGCTCAATGCAGCTGAAACAACGCGATAAGACAATAGCATAACCTCTGGAATGCTGCCTCTAAACGGCCGGTACGTGTTAAAACTGGTGAAGAAGTTCGGAAAAACTGGTAGTGTGTGCAACACCCGAAATACGGGGCGGCCTCGCATCACTACGGATGAGAGCTCAGCTAGTGTTGTTATCCGCGAAGTGATCGAAAGGGCTGATCTCAGCGATTGTAAGATCACTCAAAATTGTGACACCATCCGTTACGCAGTTCACCGGATTTGGAAAGAAGGAAGATTGCATCCGTATGGTGCACGTCAAGTGCAAGTGTTGGACTCATGTGATCCGGAGAAACGATTTGCAGTTTGTAGCTGGTTCTTGAATCATCTGCATATTCACTCCATTCTCTTCATCGATGAGGCAGTGTTTCATTTGCACGGAATGCATACAGAAGCAGCACTTTCAGGCGAGATTAAATCTACGACGCTGCCGAACTTCTCGTATACAGCGTAGTGCCAAGTTAATGGTTTGTGCTGAACTAACTGATCAAAACATTGTCGGACCATTTTGCTTTTCCAGTAATGTGACCGTCAGGTTACTGTTTTAATATACTAATGTCAAACATTTTCTAGCATCGTCGTACCACGAAATGCTGCAAACCTGTGTGCTTCCACAACTGTAGGTTGAGGGTTTTGCAAGCACTATTTGGTCCGTAAAATGTGGACGCACCTACCCAGTATGCACAAACGGTGCGGGATTATGTTATCGCGATGTTGGGTCACCAGTGGGTGGGGTTGCAGTGATTCCAATGGAGTTGTCTGGCCGCTCAACAGATTTGAACCTCTTACATTTCTTATTAGGGGGTTATTTGGAATGAAGAGCTTACAAGACAACGACCATTTTACTAGAACAACTGAAAGACCGTATTGGCAACCAATGTCATGCCATCAACAAGGCATGGTTGCTTAAAGTTCTTGCCAATTGTCTCAGCGATTTCTGCACTGCAAACAGAAAGCCGGCGGGCACGTTGAGCATCTTCCTCGTTGACGGATTTATATCTGTTTATGTTGTTTATGTTACTATGCGTATTCACGATCATTACTGATTTCTAGACTAAATTAATGCACGGACCGTTGGCACGTGATATTGTGCTCACTAACGAAGAACTCATGGATGACGGAATAGTCGTTTAGCGCATCACTGGGTCGTAGTGATCAAGTT